GCAGAGAGTGCTGCAGACCCACAGGTGGGGCAGGGAGGCTGGGGCAAACGGCTTTGGCTCAGGCTGAGAGCACAGGCCACGCCAGCTCCTGGGGGCCCCGTGGGAGAGCTGGGTACTCACATCTGTGTAGTTGTAATCGCTGTTGGTGGCCAGGAAAACCTTCCCCGCTTCCTTCATGCGGCTCAGCAGCAGGGGCACACGGGGCTGCGCAGAACGAGATCCATGCAAGGGGCTGGCTTTGCGGGCCCGGGCAAGGGGGCAATGGTGCCCCGCTGGGGCTGGGTCCTAGGACCAGCACTAGCTGGGGGAGTTCCGGCAGACGAGGCCTGCGTCCACAGAGCTGGGGGAGCAGGGTTCCTGGCCCGGCTCGCTTGCCACTGGGTAATGCAGTAACCTGGGAAGGGCAGCTGGGCGGGGAGGGGTGTTGTCGGCCAGGGGTGCCCCCACTCACACAGTAGGGGGATGGTTTTGCTCAGCCCTCCCTCCCTCCCCCCCCCCATACACACACACTGCAGGAAGGGAGCCTGAGAGAGATCTCAGTGCGGGAAGGGAGGGAGCCAGTCTGGTCCCAGGGGGCTGGGGGAGCAGGACAGGTTTGGGAACCATGCTGGCCATAGAGCCCAGGGGAGGGGATGCCCAGGAAGGATGCATGGGGGCCGTGTCGACCCTGCAGGGCATGGGTGTGATGCCCCTCTAGGCCTGTTTGGGGGGAGGGGGGGGAAAGCGCAGCCATTCCAAGTGGGGGATGCAACACTCACATCTTTCACCACAAACTTCTCCAAGTTCTCCAGCGTCTTCTCCTTCAGGCAGCCCTGGGCAAGCGCGGGGAGAGGGGGCGGGTCACAATCGCTGCCATCTGCCCCCGTGGGGCGCTTGCCCCCTTCCCCTGCCCATGTGGCGTGGGGGACTCTTCTTGTGCCAGGAAACGGACCGAGGCCCCAACTCCGTGTCCCCCCACACACACCCCGGTGCCCCCACAGCAGCACCCAGATGCCAGTGCCTTGGAGCCACGCCTGGCCGGGCCACATCACAGCCCATCACACTCTGTGTCGCAGCACGGGCGCTGAGGCCCAGGGAGTGTTAGCCCCTCCCTCCGTGCCCCGGGGCACTGCCCAGTGCCCCATGCTGCAGGACAGAACCAGCCCCATTGTACGGTGTAGGCCCGTGCCCTCAGGAGGAGCACAACTTCACGGGAGAGAGGACAGCACCCGGAGCCCCCTCACTGGGCTCCCAGCCAGCATCTGATCACCCAGCTAGTCCCTTCCAGTCAGTGCTTCGTTTGTAATGAAAGTGGGGCCGGGGCTCCGGACTGCCACAAATAAAGCCCTGGTTCCGATGCGGTAACTCACCTTGCTCATTTGGGGCCGGGACTCCACACTTGCCACTCAGGACACACGGTGCAGGGCAACGGGCTGAACCGGGCTATGCCCAAACCCACAGCTGGAGCCCCCGGGCCAGAGGAGCAGCCCGGCCAGGTGAGCCAGACGGGCACCTCCCCGTGGCTGAGCCGGTCCCATCAGGGAATCACCTCCCCTGGCAAAGCCATTGGGAGCCCCCTTGAACCGGTCCCATCTGCACAGGGAGCAGAGTGTCCTGGGGAGGGGGTCTGTGCATCCCGTGGCCCAACCTGTCCATTAGGGGTGGGATCACACAGCTGAGCTGCCAGCTTTCCTGGGCTGGGCGTCAGCCTCCCATGCGGGCACACAGTGCCTCTAACTTGGCTCAAAGAGCCAATCGGGAGCCCCCACTCTCAGGTGGGCTCCAGCATCCTCTGCACAAACACCGGCAAGCCCCACGCTGCCTGGGGCACTGTCTGGAGTGGAGACCATGGCCTGGTGTCACCAAGATCAAACCTCATGTCACCTACACACACCCCAGCTACAGATGGGAGCAAGCAGGTGTAGCCCACGGCAGTAACTTGCCATGTTACATTGGCTAAGCCTGCTTGGAACCGGTTATGGTGGATTTACACTGGGATTTTAAACTGATTCCAGTGCAAGCTTCCCAATGCAGACCAGGCCTCCCAGCCCACTGAGGGGTTCCCAGGCAGCGACCGACCGAGAGATGCACGTGGTCCATGGCCTCGCGCACGTCCTGGAAGATGCTGCGGAATGACATGAAGAGGTTGCCGTGTTTGTAGCCCGTGTCACAGCTGGGAAAGCGAGGAGAGAAAATGGTCAGTGGGGAAAGGAGAGGGGCACTGGGCTGGGGGACTTTGAGTGGGGCAGGGGGAGGTGCAGCTGGGATGGCAGCCAAGGCACTCCTAGACACCCCAGGGAAGGGGGGAATTGCTGCCCCAGGCCCCCCAGACAGCAAAATGCTTCTTCCCCACCACACCCAGCAAAGGGAAACCCAGAGCTGGTGTGTGCCCCTGGCAGGCCCCAGAGCAGCCAGGCACTTCCCACAGCAGCCCCGGGGGTTGGGAGTTTGGGGGGCTCGTCTCAGACACAGGCAGCCAGGCGGGCCGGAGTCTCAGTGGGAGAAGATTGGGCTGCCTATCAGGCAGGGCGGAAGCAGGGTGGCGTGACAGCTTGCCCACTGGCCATCTGGCATCTGCTACTGCCAGGCCCCAGGGCTCTCGCTCTGGCAATCAGCAGGGATGTTGAACCTCCCAAACCTGCCAGCCTCCCCGGCCCGGGGACCCCCTCCCGAGTCCCAAGGAAAGCTCCACTCAGGGCCAAACCCAGCCAGGCTTTGGCAGAGCGTCTGGAGCTTTCCCAGCCTGCTGCGGAGATGGCAGGACCCAGTCGGGCTGCTGAGCGCAGGGATCAGCAGGATGCCCCCCCCCACACACTCCTCAAATCCTCAGCGTGCCGCGAGGCAGGGGCTCTCACTTGACGTATCTGGAGCAGTTGGTAAAGAAATCCACCAGGCAGGCGTAGAGATAGGTCTCTGCCAAGGGAAAGGGAGGGCAGGTCAGCAAGGCAGCTGGCTCAGACAGCAGGCTCTGGGAGAGGGGCCCTGGGAGCTGTGGGTGTGGCCCAGCCACTAGCCTAGGACATGGGTTGAAGCCCTGCTCTGCCACAGACCCCCCTGGGCCAGTCACTTAGCCTCTCTGGGCCTCTGATCCCAGCTGTCACCTGCATGGCCCTGGCACAATCGGGGGTGGTACACGTATTCGGGTGAGATGCTCAGATACTGCAGGGCAGACAGGTACCAGAGAGAGGCGAGGATCCTGGTGAGTGAGGGGGGCCCCAGGGGAAATGGGGGGTGAATTTTACAGCAGGGCTGCCCCCTGCACATGGGGGGAGGCCATAGCCCTGCATACCTGTGAGGTTGAAGAGCGTGTTGAGAATGTGAAATCGCTTCATATCGTCCCGCTGAATGAACTTGTTGGGGTAATAATTCCAGATCTCAGCCCTGGAGGGGGAGACAAACCCGTGTGAGGGACTGGGGGGCACTGGCTGAGTGAGGGCCAGGGCGGAGCTGCCAGAGAGGGCAGATGCTGTAGAGCAGAGGCAGAGCTCAGCTGTGATGAATCCTACAGGGATTTTCCCACAGAGGCAGCTGGACACAGACGACCCTGGGGTTCCCTCTAGCTTTCAGCCTGCAATACCCAGTGTTACCACAAGCTGGCACCCTAAGCCAGGCCTCCTGCCCTGCATAGGCCAGCTCCTGGGTGGCTGGAGCAGGTGTGTTCTGCACACACAGAGCACCACGAAGAGCCAGCTGCAGCCCCCTAAGCCACGCGCTTGTCTGCACGGCCCCGTGCGACATCCCAGCAGCACCCACAGCAGGGAGCCGGCCAGCCTGCAATGCCCACCCAGCTCCCCACAAGGAGCCCAGCAGTCACAGGCCAAGAGCACTGATTGGCTGCTGCTGCACGGCAAAGAGAACAAAAACTATGTTATAAATCAGGGGTGGGCAAACTATGGCCCGCAGGCCACATCCGGCTCACTAGCTGATTTAACCCAGCCCTTGAGCTCCTGTTGGGGAGCAGGGTCTGGGGCTTGCCCCACTCCCGTGCTCCAGCCGGGGAGCAGGGTCGGGGGCCACTCCATGCACCGCGGCTCCCGGAAGCAGCGCATGTCCCCCCTATGGCTCCTACGTTTAGGGGCAGCCAGGAGGCTCCACACACTGCCCCGTCTGCAGGAACCGTCCCCGCAGCTCCCATTGGCCAGGAACTGTGGCAAATGGGAGCTGCAGGGGCAGCACCTGTGCACGAGGCTGCACGCAGAGCCGCCTGGCCATGCCAGAGCCGGAGGGGGACATGCTGCTGCTTCCAGAAGCTGCTTGAGGTAAGCGCCGCCCAGAGCCTGCACCCCTGACCCCCTCCTGTGCCCCTGCCCCAGCCCTGATCCCCCTCCTCCATCCTAAACCCCTCAGCCCCACCCCAGAACCTGCACCTCCAGCTGAAGCCCTCACCCCCTCCACACACCCCAACCCTCTGCCCCAGCCCAGAGCCCCAGCCTGCACCCTGAACTCCTCTTTTCTGGCCCCACCCCAGAGCCCTCACCCCCTCCTGAACCCCAACTTCGTGAGCATTCATGTCCCGCCATACAATTTCCATACCCAGGTGTGGCCCTCGGGCCAAAAAGTTTGCCCACCCCTGCTATAAAGCATGAGAATGGGACACCCCCCTGCACCCTAATCAATGCTGACAGCACCCCCCCACACCCCATTGACACTGACCCCGTGCCACCCACCAGCTGACAGGATGCCCCAGGATGATCAGCGAGGGCACACAGGGCTGCACTATTTATACACTACAATACAGGGCATTCACTGGCCACTTTCCCACCAAAGGACCCCACCCCCCGGAATCCTACTTGCATCTGGTCTGATTCTCGACCTGCTCCCTGCCCCATGGGGGACCAGCACTTCTGCCCCCATCCAGAGATCTAGCCCCATGGCTAGCCGGGCTCAGACAGGCCCCTGAGATGATGCTCCCCGGCTGGGCGTTTTGTCCCGAGCTGCACTACCCAAACCTCAGGAGTTTTCCAGATAAACCCAGCGCAACCTGAATCCCTCAGCATGAGGCTTCCTCCCTTTCCAGGAAGGGGACGACCTTCCCCCTGCCCTTCCTGGAATGTCTCCCTGGAGCGCCCGGGGGCGGGGGGGGGGGAGATATACACCACATTCCTACATGTTTCCCTAAATCTCCTGCATGTTTCCACTACCCCCAAAGCCAGTGGCTCAGCTGTGCTCACAGCTGCCCAGTCACTCAGGCCGTGGGGATGGAAGGTAACAATCGCCCCGGCCCAGCGTCTGGTTGGAAAGAAAACACGCTGGCTAAAAGTATCCCCTGCCTGGCAAGCAATGGAAGTGCTGGTCCTGTTGTGCCCAGCTGCTGCACCGTCCCAGGCCCCGTGCCTGGGCAGAGACAGTTCCTTGTGGGGCACAGCCCCCCATCTGGGAGCATGCGGCTCTCCCCCAATCTGCCCCAGTGCTTCCCAACGCAGCCACAAGGGAGCTGATGGCACAGCCATCTCCCCGCAGAAGCAGAGATGGCCATGCCAGGCGACAGGCAAAGAATATCAGGGTTGGAAGGGACCTCAGGAGGTATCTAGTCCAACCCCCTGCTCAAAGCTGTGACCAAGGGCAGGGCAGAGCCAGGCCCCTCAGATCTCCCCTCTCCAGTGCAAGAGGTGTTCTGGGGCAGGGGAGCAAGGGTGGACTGGGGCCAGCCCTATGCCCTGATGTGCCCCCAGTGCCAGCCTCAGCACTGGGGTGAATTTGCCCCTTGGCGAGTAGCCTCAGCCTGTCCCACCTCCCCTTGTGGTTCAGGGACAGCTTCTCCAGGGATGAGTGCCGGGCTGCAGGGGAGGCGCAGCCCCGGGACGCTGGACAACGCCGTGTTTATAAAGAAGATGAAGTGCTGGGCTGGCAGCAGGCTGGTGTTGTTGCGCTTTATTTAGAACCATGACAGCAGCCTGGAGACATCCCTCCGCCCCTCCCAACCTGGCTCCCCCCCACCTCCCGGGAGCAATGTGCAGGCTTCATTATGCCCAGGATCAGAGCACTGGCAGCAATCCCAGGAGCGCAAGGATGGCCCACTGGTTAGGGGCTGGCCTGGGAGACGAGGCAAAGTCACTTGGGTGCTCTGTGCCCTCTGTCCAATGGGGAGAACAGCCCTGCCCTGCCCTGCCTCCCAGGGCTGGGTGAGGATAAATTCATTAAAGACTGTGGGGTGTTCAGAGGCCAAGGTGACGAGGAAATACCTTCACTAGGTTTTGTATAGCAGGGTCCCTCTCCAGTTGCTCTGCAAGGGGAACGACATGGGGGTGGGCCTAGCATCTCCGGAGAGGTCAGAGCAGGCGGGATTGTCAGGGATGTGATCCATTGCGGCCCACAGTACCTGAGTCAGACCTTTCCAGCATGGTCAGTGCCAGACTCAGGGGCAAGCCCCACTCTGTGACTCCAGGGCAACTTGGAGACTGACCCCTGCAAGGCCCTTTCTCCTCTCCCCCAAAGCACCAAACCAGGGAGCCAGCTCCAGGGTCCTCCATGCCCACCTCAATGCCACCTGCCCTGCTGTCCCCCACCCCCTCTGACACAGGAGCGACGGAGACAAGGGCAAGGAGCGAACAAACCACCCGGGGGCAACAGGTGCATTTGGTTCCCAGCCCCCTCCCTGGGCAGGGCTGATTCCTGGCACTCGTAGGGCCCCACTGTGCAGCCAGGCCAGGTACCCACCAGCAGACACTGGGCAGCGCAGGCTGGAAGCAAGAGAACCCGAGAACCCAAAGGTCTGTCTGTGCGTGCTAATCCCTCAGCACCCGTGGGCAGAGCGGGTGGCAGGACGGAGCAGCTGCCTTAGGAGCCTGGCCAGGAATAGCTCTTATCCAGCAGGGGCCTGGCCCAGCGCATCAGGACGATTCAGCCCTGGGATCAAGTGTCCACAATAGGAGGAAATCTAATAGGGGCCGTTGCAAGTCAGACGCCTCTGGACAGTGCAGGGGTCGTGGGGAGGGAGTTGGTGGGTGGCAGTGGAGGATATGCAGAGCCTGAGGCTGCACTGGCAATGCCAAGGGGCCAAATGCCCTGGCCACCCCACAGGTCACTATGCCCAGCGGGCACTCAGCCCTCAGCAGGATCGGGGCCCAGTCTGCTGGCTTCCACTGGACTCAAGGGGAGTGAGGAGGTCAGAGGAGCCCAGGGTCCCGATGGGATAGGGAGACACAGGAGGGAAACACTGCCACGTATCTGCACTCGGGAGCCCATGGACTCAGCACGGGAAGAGCTCCGCCGGCCCCTGACGGTGGGGGGTTGCGCCAGAGTCTCCCGGGGCTCCCGCCCCACCCCAGGGCTGTGCCTGCACCAGCCGGCGTGCTGGGCTGGCAAGAGGAGCAGCGAAGGCACCTACCCACTGAGGAAGCGGAAGCCGTGGGCGCAGACCAGCAGGTTCCCATGGGAGTCAACCTTCAGCAGGTTCCCATACTGAGCGTCAAACACCAAGCCCCTGCAGGGGGGAGAGGAGAGTGTCCGGGGGCGGGGGGAGCCCCGTTCAGAGAGCAACCAGCTCTAGGAGCTGCTCTAACCTCCCGGCGCCAGCCGCCGACCCTCCCCGCAGGGGAATGGAGTCCCAGCAGCGGAGCTGCGTCCGAAGCAGGGTGGTGGGCTCTGCTGGCGTGGCAGCGTCTGAGTGGCAGGGCCTTGGGTTCTGAAGCGCTGTGACCTGGGGGGGGGGGGGGGGCAATGCCAGCCCCCCCCTTGCCCATCCCTCACCTGGTGGCTTGACTGACTCCACAGGCCTCAGGAAACCACTCAGGCCCTTGGCTGAACGGCACCACCAAAACGGCGTCTTCTGTCCGCATTGGTGTCACCCCACTAATGTCACTGGGTTTACACCTGGGACCAATTGGGCCTCCAGGGCCCAACCCATCGTGTCCTGTGCCTTGTGTTTACACCTGGGCATGGGGGTGCCAACTTGGAATGGCAGCAACAGGCCCCTGCTTGGCATGGGGGTAAGTGACAAGGCAGGTTGGCAACGGACAGGGCCCAAGCCCCCTGGGAACAATGGAGGTTCCCCCATCTCCCCCTCCCCATGACGAACAAGGGGACCCCCCCCCCCCCCCCCCGACTGGAGCTCCCGGGCGCTGAGCAACGCAGCCCCTGGCCATTCACTCCAGAGGACGATACCCAGGGAGCCCGTCTTGACTCTCAGATCCAAGGGGGCAAATAGCCACTAAGTGGTGTAAACCAAACCCCTTTGAACTGGGGGTGTTCAGACACCACGAGCCTGGTGCACTGGGGAAGGAGGGGCACTTTAAAGCGTCACTGCCCCCCCCCCCAAGCCGTCAGTGGGCCTCGCTAGGGGACAGCCCAGAGCGGCTGTGGGGGGCAGCGCTCACCTGGTGGGGAAGGTCGGGTCATACTGGTACTTCAAGATCTCGTGGGGGTACCCAATGGAGACCAGCCAGTCCAGCAGCAGCTCGAAGGCCAACTCCTCGTAATCTGGGGACTTGTATACTGCAGGCGGGAAGGGGTGGGGGAGGAGAAGAGGAGCACAAGCCAGAGCTCCAGCAGCCGGCGCGGGGAACCCTCTCCCCAAAACAAGGGAATAGGGCCCAGGGCTGCCTCCCCCAAAGACCCCAGGCTGTAGCGACACCCAGGGGGAGGGGCAGGGGGTTACAGCAGGGATCCCAGTTCGCCCACTGGCACTGGTATGCTGCAGACAGCGTAACCAGCATGAGCCCCGCTGGGGCAGGCAAATGGAACCTGCCTTTGGAATGTGGGGAGCTCCTGGCACTCGCGCCCCATCCCCACTGGGGCATGGCCCATATGGGGCCAGCTAGCCGGTATATGCGAGAGGCAGCCTTAGAACTAACTAGGGTCTACCCCCTGCTCCTATCCAAGCCGATGGCCAGAACCTGGTGTGAATCCAGAGCTGCGCCGGGGCCGAGGGGAGGGTTACTCCGGATTTCTGGGAACAAGACGGGGGGCTCAGCAGGCAGCCACCACAGACAGTCCTGGGCCCCGGACCAAACTGGGAAGTGAGGATCAAACTGGGGGAAGCCAGCAGAACTCCCAAACCAGTGGCAAAGCCACCAGGCCCAACTGTTGGGATCCCAGATACAGGCCAGAACCTCACAGACCAAACCACGGACCAGGCAGGTTAGCTTGGTGCCTACCCAGAATTCTTCCTGGGCCCATCGACTGGATCCCATGGTGCCACCCAGCTCCTCACAGGCCAGGCCAGAGGTAAGTCCTGCCCTATAGGAACCCCATCCCTCCTCCCGGCCCAGAACTCACTCGCCAGCGTATAGTCCATATCGAAACCAAAGCACCTGATCTTCTCCAGAGCCAGGCTGCGGTTCACAAAGATCCTGGAAGGAAAATGACAGCAGAGGGTGAGTGGGGGGCAGCCCTGCTTCCCCAGGGCTCTCGCTCTCCAGTTGGCACTGCCCCCCTTTAATACCAACACCCCCCACCTGGCACCCCCTCCAGCTCATCCCCCCTTTGTTCAAGCAGCCCCTGGGAGAACCACAGTTTGCCACCACCAAAGAGACATTCCTGCCCCCTGCCCCAAGTTCGCCACCCGTCCCGCTGGGCTGTATCTCTGGAGGGGAGCTGGGCCGAGGCTTTGAAGGGGAATGCTGGTGAGCGCCCGGTCACGCCAGCGCTGCTCCGGGCAGGCTAGCCCTGGGTTTGCCATCACAGGGACATTAGCTGGGACCTGCATTTGTCCTTCCCTCACCTCCAGCCCAGGGGGATTTAGCTGCTGGTGACTGGCAGAGACAGACAGTCCCCTCTCTGCACCCACCTGCCCACGGCCTGCCAGGATGCTGGGGCCCTGGCCACGCTGGTAACACGGCCATGCCCCACTCAGACCCACCCTGTGCACACAGGTTGTGCTGCCATGGGCTCCCCTAGCCTAGTGAGCAGCCAGCCCTTCCCACAGCTCCTGCAGCACAGACAGGCTCTGCTCTTGGGAAGGAACAAGAGCTGGCCAAGGGAGCCACCAGCCGGGGGGAGCCAGGACTGGCACTGTGGAGGGGGAGCACAGCCCCTTTGGGGAATGCTGGTGTCCAGGCGGGAACCCCAGCAGGGTGCAACACTCCAAAGCTATCATCTGGGGAGGAGCGACTGAACGAG